ATTGCTGCAGCCTGCGTGGATGTATCGAAAATGCGCTGCCGGAGGTGGCGCCAGCGGGTTGCAAAACGCAGCTGGGCGGACCACGGGTGGGAACGCAAGGCTCCCCCTGCCGAGTCACGCGGTTCCTCCCCGCCCACCGCCCCGACCTGCTGACCCTCGGAGTTCTCTCCAGGACCGTCGGCGCGCATCGGAATGGGCAGTAAGGGCAGCAGTAATTTCAGGTGAGGCGTGTCCTAATGGGGCCCCCCCTCTCGTGAATTCAGGCTATGCGCGGCCCGCTTAGCTTCGACCGAAAGTGGTGCGCTCTCGACCCGCGGATCAAACAAGTGTCCTAGTGGGGGCAGGAGGAGCGGAGAAGATGGAACTGGTCGTGGTGTGCAGTACGTTCTACCCTGTAGCTGAGGGGAGAACCACGGGTAGCCTCGAGAGGATGTCCGAGTAGCTACTGGTGCGGTCGGGATACGTGCCCCGAGACTGGCCTGCTGAAGTCGCAGGCCCAAAGCTGAGAGGTGCAAAAGCAGGAGGGGCAATGGCTATGCAGGCTGCCGGCAGCGGGCGAACCACGGTAGCCGAAGGGCAAGTGGCTGCGCCGAGCGGGCGGTGCGCCCCGAGCTCCTCCACGCTCTGGCGGAACCGACTGTGCCAACACCAGCCGATAAGCCCTGGCTGCCAACACCCGCCCACTCCCGCTATGCCCACCGATCCCACCCAGGCCAGCTCCCGCAAGAGAAAGTGGGCGTGCGGAAAAGCGGGACATCCGAGCAGAGAAACACATGCTCTAAACATGGGTGGCATGAAATCCCCACGGTGTGGTGAGGGCCCATGCGCAGAGACCCGTGCAGGGTTTGGCGCAACTGATCGCCATTCTGCCAAATACCCCTCACCGTCTACCACACACCGCCATCTATCCCATGTTCTTGATATGCGAATGAGGGTGAGGTGGGCATGTCCGGCTCAGCAGGTACGCTTGACAACGTCAATGTAGTTCCTGTACAGTTCGTGTGCCTCTCCCTCTGGTATGCCCCGCATGGCTACCATGCAGGGTATCAAGCTAAGTGTACCACGGTGCAGATCGTCGATGCTCTGCGTTGATACCAAGCTGGGTGTCGGTCGGTGATGCTCTGCGTGGTGTTAGTGCATACTCGTCGATGCGCTTCTGTACATCTGCAAGGTGCTGTTCGTACTACTGCTGGTGTTCCTCCTCCTTCTCCCCCCTCCCTGTTTTTCCTTGTCCTCATTCTGCTCCTCACTCCTCCCCACTCCCCTACCCATCCTCCCCCTCCTCATCCTCCGCATCCCAGCCCCTGCAGGGAGGGGGAACCCTTCTCATCCTCCTCGCGTCGCGGCAAACCATCACGACGAAACGTGTCTAGCCATGCTCGGCCTCCCGAGGCCATCACAGGGCCCAGAGACCGTCAGAAAACGGCACGGCATGAAACAAACAGTCTCCAGCAAGGGGTCGAGACCTCTCTGGAGCCGCATGTGGGTTCTCCTCTCCTCCTCCTCCACCTCCTTCTCCCCCCCCTCCTCCTCCTCCTCCTCGTCCTCCTCCTCCTCCCTCGTCTTGAAAATTCGCAAGAGCTTCATGGATGGAGGGCGACCCGTTTTCAAAATGTGGCTCTCGCGTTAGCGCCGCGCGCAGTCGTCGCAAAGGTCTGCACAACTTGCACGGATGCAGGGCGGCTCGTTTTCAAAATGTGGCTCTCGCTTTAAAGCCGCGCACATGCTTCGTCAAAGCTTTACAGAGCTTCACGGATGGAGGGCGGTTCCTTTTCAAACTGTGGTTCTCGTCTCAGTAACGCGCACATTCGTCCTAAGAGTTAGCAACAATGCTAAAGGATTATCAAAGCTAACTTCCGAGAAACGGTATTTTGGCAGGACGTAGGAATGTCAGGGCGCGCTGGTCACGTGGATTCGCCGTGTTGAAGACCCAAGAAGGGTGTTCTGGCGCGGTTCAAGATCGTCAAGACGCAACATTAGCAATGATTCGCGGCGGTGAAGTCCCAAACACGGTGGTCTGCATCATTCCGGATTTTCAAACGGTTGTCTTCCAATTGGTCATTTCCCATCATGACAATGAATCCGTGGATGAGCCATTTAAGAGGGTGGTTGGAGGAAGAGTTTATTGCAATATCGTTGGTGAGTCTAGGGTTTACACTGATCCTCCTCGTCGTCCTCCTCGTCCTCGTCCTCGAGGATGAGGATCGAGGGCCTATGTTGAATTACGGCAAGTTGCCTCCCTCCCGCAACACACATGGAAGTCTGGCTGCCTCTCGTCGCCCTCCGACCGCAAGACCTGTGCTAGAGCGCCTTCTGCTTCAGATTCGAAGCGAATCCAACCATGGCAACGACGACCACGACAGGACAGGACAGAACAGAACAGGAAGAAGCCAGCGACGACGACCCGCCCCCCCCAGAGCAGTCCAGAACAAAACTCAAAACGAACAGATCGTTCTCTCTCTCTCTCTCTCCTCCTCCTCCTCTTCCTCCTTCTCCTCCTTCTCCTCCTCCTCCTCCTCCCTCCCTTTCCCGCAAGGTGTCCCCCGCAGCTCGTTCATGAACGTGGACACCGTCGACAGCGAGCCGCCGAAACCCACGCCGAACGCCCGCCAAACACGCCGGCGCCCCCCCCCGCCCGCAAGGGAGGTGGCGCGGTGAGGCGGCGCTGCGCAAGATACGGGTCTAGCCGCCGCACGTCGTCGTCGTCGTCGTCGTCGTCGTCGTCGTCGTCGTCGTCGTGGTCGTGGTCGTCGTCGTGGTCGTCGTGGTCGTCGTCGTGAACGTTCGTCGTCACTGTTGTGCGTCGTCGCCGAGAAGGCCGAGGATGTACGGAGGAGCGGAAGCGAGGCGACGAGCAGGAGGGAACCGGGAGACACAGGAGGAGCAGCACGAGGGGCAGGAGGGCGGAGCAGCACGCGGAGGGGAGCGGGCGCGGGAGGAGCGAGCCGGGCGGAGCGAGACGGGAGAAGGCGCGGAGAGCACGACGGGGGGGAGAGGCAGGAGAAGCAGGGCGAGCAGGACGACGATGAAGGGGAACTGGGGCACACAAACAAATGCACACAAATAAAAAGATTCCCCATATGTTCTGGGTTTCTGTCTTCCCCGCCACTTCCCATATTTTCCCATATTTTCTGGGGGATCGACGATTAATTGTGTCTGCGTGTTTCCTTCCCTCCTGAGAGAGGCGCGGAGGGCACGACGGGGAGGAGAGGCAGGAGAAGCAGGGCGAGCAGGACGACGAGCTCGGGGGAAGGGGGGGGAGGGGGGGGCCAAGTTAGGTGCGCTCGCGTCAACATCTGACATCCTACCCCTCCCTCCCATCCCTTACCATGGCGCTGATTTTCTCTATCCTCTGACGCCTTTCGTAGCGGACCTGTGGCTCCGCGCGCGTGTGCGTAGTGGGTGGTGGTGCGCGTGCGTGCGGTGGCGAAGGAGAGTTCTTCTCAAACGGGTGGGGTCAAACAGGACGGCGGCTGCGCGGAGGCGCTCTCGGAAGTCTTGGGCCTGCCCGTCGCCCCCTCTGGACAGCTGCCAGACCATGACGGCGTCCGCGCCGCAGCCGAGCAGGTTGGCGGCAAAAGTGAACCTGGAGAGTCGGGCCGGGCGAAAGGGGGGGAGAGCAAAGGGGGGGGTTTGAGAATCAGCTCACGTAGCTGATTTTCCCAGCGCCTCCCGGCGCCGGGAGGCGCCCATGTATCGAGGAATGGGCCCGGCGGCGGAGCCGAAACCAGCTGCATGCAGCAGATTTCGTAACCCCCCCTTTCCCTAGCCCCCACTTTCGTTCGGCCCGAGAGAGGGGAAGGACTTCGGAGGCAACTCCTGAAGAGTCTTCGCAAGAACGACCGAAACCTAATACACCCGATAACGAGACCACCAAATCGGGCTCGCCCGGATCAGGCCCAAGATGAAACCCGATCAAGCTGGAGCAGGCCGGATTGAACGGAATTCGGCTACGCGTAAGAGTGACCCTTGGTAAGAGTGACCTTTGGTGCGCGGCTTTTTGGGGGCCGTGGGGGGGGGCCAAACGCAAGCGCGCAAGACGCCGCTGCCGCCTCGCGTTCGGCGATTGGGAACCCCAATGGGCCCGCACCAAAGGTCACTCCGGCGAAGGGTCTTTCTTACGTGTAGTCGAAGAATTAGGCGCGATTATCCCAGATGGAGCCGGTTTCGACCACGGATCGACCAGGGAAGAAACCAAATTCAACCTCCCAGGAGTTGCATTCGAAAAGGGCGAGACGACAGCAAGGTGCGAACGCATCGTGTACGAACTTCTCGGTGATCCCCGAGAGATGACTCCCCAGGGGGATTATGAAGGGATTACCGTGGCCGTTCCAGCATCGAGGCACTACATCATGGCATACTGCGTCCGCCGTGACTGAACTAGACAATGCTGATAGCATCGATATGACCATATATACATGCATATACAGAGAAAGAGAGAGAGAGAGAGAGCAAACGAATAGGGCAATGGACATCTCGACATGCTAGATCACACCCCTGAGTATTAGAACCACGGGATTTGTAAATTCCAATGCTTGTTTCCAAGAGAGAGCAGGTATCGCAGAATCGCGCCAGCAGGGGCCATCGCTATGGCGCCCCAGATGGAGATTGCTGGAACGCTGCTCCCCCTTCACGAGGAATAGTAATCCCGATATGGGGTCACAACTCCCTGGACACTCCCTTCGCGCATTGACTACGAGGGCACCAGTAAATCCGAAAGGCGAATGCGCGCTCACCCACAGAGGAAGGAGCTAATCCTACCAGCCCCTTCTGGGCGCAGGTGCACCAGCGAATCAACTATGCCCCCTTGCGTCACGGATGAACATCCTCGTCGGCTGGGGTCCCAAGCTCGACCTGCGCCGATCAACGGAGAACCCTTGTTTGGGCCCGATATGGGGCAAAAATCCCGGTCATGTTCCCGCGACGCCTCAGATGGGGCGGCGGGATGCCGAGGCGGAGTAGGACGACAACGCGGAGACGGATAATGGTAAGGATCAGGTCTAGGAAGGCCAGCTACCAGCAATCTCATGGCCTTTTCGTCGTTGGCGATAGCTGTCCCGGGCCAGTCTGGGCGGCCGGGCGTTGAGCAATCCCCCGCCAAACGTACATGCCCTCCGTCCCATAATTATCCCAGCCAACGTCGTCCTCCTCCTCCTCCACCTCCTCCTTCTCCTCCTCCTCCTCTTCCTCCTCCTCCTTCTCCTCCTCCTCGTCCTCCTCCTCCTCCTCCTCCCTCATCCCCGAAAGTGCAGCCTCAAGGCGTATCCGACATACGCGGTGCAGACCTTCCTCCCCTTACCGAGCGCCCTCGAGGGCATTGCCGGGCACCTCTCAGAAACACCTTCGCCGGAAAGGTCTCTTTGCCGGCATCTGTGCTGCAGGGCAGATGCTCCCATCCCCTCGCCTGCCCTCTCCCTCCTCGGCCCCATCCACGGGCCCCCCGCCAGCTGGGCGCAAAATATAATTGGGGGGGCGATGAAGGGGGGGGGGAGAAAGGTGCCCTTATCCCAGACCTCCGACGTCATGATTTTTTCATGATGCGACCCCCAGAGGTCCCATCCCATTCCCCGGGACTGGTTTTTCATCCTTAGTCGTCTTTTGACGGTCCCGAGGCCCGGTGAGGGCCCCCAGAGGCCGAAAATGGCGAAACACCTCCCGTCGTGATTTTGTCATGACCCGAGGGGGTCTGGGATCAGGCCCTAAAGGATCCCTTCTGGGTCCGAACAAAAGCCCCTCCACGGGCCCTGAAGGGTCCCCTTTCGGCAGCACCCTCGCTGCCCCCTCCCCATGCATCGCCCCCCCCCCCCCCTTACGCGTCCCCCGAGCCGGCCGAGAGCGCCCCGGCGGCTCCCGGGCCGGAGGTCCCGCAGCAGGCCCGCATGTGGGCGTGGCGCCGCTCTCGCGCGGCGCGGGTCAAAGCTGCCTCTGCTCTGCTGCAGGCGATACCAGCCCCCAACCAAGACACTTCCGAACGTCGCGCTTACAGCGAGGCGCTTTCATCGCCGGGTTTCGAACCCACAGTGCCACCAACTCCATGTGGCCAACCACGCCTTGGGGGTCGTTCCATCTGCGGTCAGCGCGGTGCCTGCGGTGCGGCAAGAGCAAGCCGGTCCCTAGCGAAGCAGTGTCCGCACACTTTGCCGTTCAATAGGGCGGAATATTCATGGGATCGCTTCACGAAGGGCCAGCGCCTTAATTGAAAAGCTGGCCCTGCACGTTGCCTGGACGAGCAGATGTCTGCTTATTCCCTCTTCGGTCCATAAGCCACCAGTGGTCTTCTGGGCGGGAAAATTATCACTTTCAACCTCCTCCCATCATGCTTCCTTCCCTCCTCCCCATTAGGCGATTGCGTCTTCGGTATCACTCTGGAACCCCCAAGAAAACGAGAAGATTCCATGGGCGGAAACCGTGATACGCTCAGGGTCGTATTCTGTGACACGTCCGGCCCTGGCCGAGATTTCGGTCGGGACAACCTTTCGAACATCTGTCCTGCTTGATCCCTGGCTTGTGCACACTTCCTCACTCGTCGTCCTTCCCCGTCCTTTCCTCTTTGCTCCGCGTCCCAGCCCCCCGGACGACCCTGATGCCGCCACTCGCGCCCGTGGATGACGTACGCGCGCGTGCGTCCGGGCTGTAGTGCCGCCACGTAGGGGCAACCATTGCATGTGTGAGTGGCGGCACCCCTCTCTGTCTGTAGAAGTAAGCATGTGGCGGCCTCCACAACATTGTCATCCTGCGCCGACTCGCATCTGCAGAACTCTCGTGCATAATGACTGTCGCAAAGAGTTGCAACCACCACCAATTGGTCTGATATATCGCTCGCTTCGCGAATTGCACCTCTTGCTGTAGTGTGCCCTCCGCGCACATGGGAACGTGCTCCCCGAAGCGGACCGTCACTTCTGGGTGGAACACGCGGCCTTGATGGGAAGAGGAGGTCGCACAGAGTCGCGACTCCGGACTGCACGCCCTGGGCCGAATCCAGAAGACCCCCTCCGAAACCCCGCGTCTCCTCGCCTCCCGATCCTGCCCGGCTCTCGCAACCGCTTCTCCCCCCTGGTGAACAGTCCTTCACCCGGGGCGAGATCGGCAAGGCCCATCGGTGGTCATGGGAAGCCAGTAAGAAGGCAGCTCATCTTGCTGCGTCAGTATCAGCGGTTGGGCGATAAGTTGTGACCACTGGCTGCTGATGGACGTATTCAGCCCGCCGACCCCGAAAGGTCCACCGTGGGCTTTTCAACCTCACGCCTAATTAGAAGAACAGAGTCCAGGAACATCGCCCTGGCCCACTCGTCTATTGCGGGTTCCTGATGTCCGCCTTGCTCCTCCCTCTTGCTCCTCGTCCTCCTCCCTCCTCCACCCCTCCTCCTGCCTCCTCCTCCTCCTCCTCCCTCCTGCCTCCTGCCTCATCCTCCTCCCTCCTGCGTCCTCCCTCCTCCTCCCTCCTCCTCTTCCGCCTCCTCCCTCCTTCCTCCTCCCTCCTCCTCTTCCGCCTCCCCTGGAGGAAAATGAGGAGGGACTCGCACCCCATCTCCTGCCACCCCTCCCAACCTCAACCCGTCTGCGCCCGCCTCTCTCTCTCTCTCTCACTCGCTGTTTCGCTCTCTCTCTCTCTCTCTCTTTCTCTCGCTCTCTCTCTCTCTCTCTCTTCTCTCTCTCTCTCTGCTTGCCTTTGCGCCCCTCCGTCTCTCCCTCTCTCTCTTTCTCTATCTCACTCTCTCTCTCGCTCGCTCGCTCGCTCTCGCTCGCGCTCTCGGTCTCTCTCTCTCTCTCTCTCTCTCTCCCTCTCCCTCGTTCTCGCTCTCGTTTTCTCTCTTCTTGCCATCGCTCGGACGTCCATTCCTCGTGCAGTTGTCGGATTCGTGCGTATTTGTTCGCAAGATGGCCCAACATACTTCTCGACGGTCCGTGCCGAGAACAACGCACACGTCCGAGTGATGCCAAGTCTCTCTCTTTCTCTCTTGCTGTCTTCCTGTCTTCCTCTCTCTCTCTCTCCCTCTATCTCCGGCTACTCATTGAAGGACGCGTCGTACAACCGCAACAAGTTCCGTGCCTCCCTCTTGTCCTCCTCACCGCACTCCCTCCTTCCCCCTCCTCTCCTCATCCCAGCCGCCGACGGCGCGCAGTAGCAAGCTGGCTAGCAGTGGCGCCGTGGTCGCCCCAGGACTTCCTTAGCCGTGGCACTTCTTTGATCCGCGGGTCGAGAGCGCACCTCTTCCGGCCGAAGCTAAGCGGGCCGCGCACAGCTTTCATTAACAAAGGGGCATAGCTGTGACACAGCACGGGCCCAAAAGGCCGAAGAGGGCCCCGAGCCCAACCAGCGGCCCAAGAAACCTCGGGAGGCCCGCAGGCCGCCGGCCCAGGAGGCAGCCACCCGCGCCCACCACAGGAGGCCCCCGAGGCGGCCCGGATATAGCAGCTGCAGGGGACTCCTCGGAGCTCCTCGGGAGGAGCTCCTCGGGAGGAGCTCTTCGGGGCGGGCCCTCCCTGGGGCTCCTCGGGAGGAGCTCGTCGGCCCTCGTGGGGCCCTCCTGGGGCAGCCATGGGGCCATCCTGGGGCTCTCTCCCTTCTCGGCTTCGCGTCGGCGCTCCTTGGCTCCTCCGGGGCCTCTTTGAATCCATGCTGAGCCGGCAGGCGGTGAACAGAACAACTCAATACCCATCGGTCGGACGAAGTAGGTAGAAACATGAAGTGGGAAAACGTTGAAACAGATTGCGGGTCCACCCGCCCCCTCAGGAGTACGGAAAAGGTTCAGCCACTCGATCATTGAAGTAGGAAGGCGCTTAAAGCAGATTGGAATGTGGGAATCCAAAATACCTACTTTCACCGGCCCAGGCCATCATGGGGTTCTTCACCAGTGTGTTATCCGTCTGGGGGCCTCCTGAGAGCCCGCTTGCTCCTCCTGCTCTGCCTCCTCCGCCCTCCCATCTCATCTCTCCTCCCGCCCTACCCGTCTCCTTGCCCTCTTGAGCAGGGATCGGCCGTCCCGGCATTCCTATAGGCCTACCACGACATGTTCTTAGAACCAAGAAGTGTTCCAAGAACAGCAACAAAATCCTTAGAGCATGAACCCAGCGGGTTGAAACAAGACGGTCTCAGCCAGAACTGTTCTAAGAACACCTCGTGCAGACCACAAGAGGGTCTTAGAACATCCCTTGGCGAACCCATAGGCAAGCCAGGACGCTTGGCCACTGCTCGAGGCACTCCTTCTCCTCGCGTCGGCATTGGCGACTGCCCCTCGCCGCCCGCCGCGGTCCTCCTCCTCGCCTCGCCGCCTCGCCCTCCTACCTCATCCTCCTCCTCCTCCTCCTCCTCCTCCTCCTCCTCGCCTCGCCGCCTCGCCCTCCTCCTACCTCCTCCTCGCCTCCTCTCCTCTCCTCGCCCTCCTCCTCCCCGTGGCGACTGCCCCCCGCCGCGGTCCGCGGTCCGCGGCGGCGACCGCCCAGGCCCGGCCCCGGGCCTGTGCAGAACCTCACGACGGTGAGCGCCGCGACCACCACCGCGAGCGCCGGCCAGAAGAGCCGCGAGGCTCCGGAGAGCGGCCAGAGGCGCGCGGGCCCGAAGGTCCACAGGGGGGCAGGGGCCCAGAGCCGAGTGCGCCGAGGAGGGGGGGCCAGGACGAGGAGGTGGCAGCGTGTCGCTCGAGGCATGTGGGCTGACGCAGGGTGGCCAGGGAGTGCATCGAGGAGAAGAAGAGGACGACGAGTGATGATAATAATGTTGCTGCTGAGAGGAGTATGAATATAGTTATTATTAGAAATACAAATAAGAAGACGAATACTGGTACGAACGCGAAACATAAGAATCATAACCACATGCCGATGAGAATAAAGTACCCCCCCCTTAAGTTGTTAGAGTTTTTTATCGTCGACCAATAAGCATTTGGTCGGGGGCGCGGGGGCGCGGAGGCCGAACTTCATTATCACGGGAAAAACTCGCCATCGAAGTTACTTCCTTCTTATGTTGAGATAACAGCATCAAGCGAAGCGAACACGTTGTTTCAGGATGTCTCAAGCGAAACCAATGTCCTTCTGTCTCTTTGTAGTTCTTTCTGTCTCTCTTTCTTTCTTTCTCTGTCTCTCTTTCTCTCTCTCTCTCTGTCTCTCTATCTCTTTCTCCTTCCTGGCCTCTCTGTCTCTCTCTCTCTCTCTGTCTCTCTATCTCTTTCTCCTCCTCCTCCCCCTGGCGCCCTGAACTTGTTTATCGCTGGGGTTGATTATCCAGGGAAAACGAGGCACGTGAGCTACCCTACACGAGCACTTAAAAAAATAATGTTTATAAAGCGCTTGTAAATAAAATTTAATACATTTGAATATTCAGTTTTTTTGTGTTATCCTCCTTTCCTCTTCTCTTTTTCCTTTTCATTTATTATTCTACTTTTCTTTTTAAATAGATCTTCTCTCTTTAAGTCCTTCTTTTCTTTTTCTGTATAATGTATCTCTCTTTCTCTCTCTCTCTCTCTTTCTCTCTCTCTCTCTCTCTCTCTCTCTCCGTGCCCCCCCTCTGAACTTGTTTTTATCCCTGGGGTTGATTATCCATGGAAAATGAAGCACATGAGCTACCCTACACGAGCACTTAAAAATTTTAATTTTCATAAAGCGCTTGTAACTAAAATCTAATACATTTGAACTTGAGATGTTCCTTCTCTTTCTCCTCCTCCTCTGTTTTCTTTTCTTTTGTATGTGATCATTTTTCTTTGTTATTTCTTAGTGTTTCTTTTATTTTTGTTTTTGTATATCGCTTTCTCCATTCCTCCGCCCGCCTGAACTTTATTATCGCCGCGGTTGATTATCCAGGGACACCGAGGCGGATGAGCTATTCCGAGGATGTCTCAAGCGAAACAAGCATATACTCGAGGATGTCTCAAGCGAAACAAGCATATACTGAAGGATGTCTCAAGCGAAACGATACGTTTCTTAAGCGAAATAAGCAATAGCTTGACGGTGTCTCAAGCGAAATAAGCAATAGTTTGTGGATGTCTCAAGCGAAACAAGGGGTGTGTCGAGGATGTCTCCAGCGTGATAAGCCATTGTTGAGGATATTTCTATGAAGACTAAACGCCAAGGATGTCTCAAAACGTGCTCGGCTTGGTCTCCTCTTGATCATCTCTTACTTCGAGATTATGCTGAGGTCTTGTGGGCTACTTTGATTATCTCCCCCTGAACCCCGAACTTTATTATCCCCTACTGTTTATTATCGAAGGTATTCGGTTAACTATAAGGAGAAGGAGAAACATAATAATAAACAACAGCTGCAAATAGAAAGAAGAAGACGAACAAGAAGCAGACATGAGCCGTGAACTCTCGGAAATCTCATGGCCTGGACCGTGACATCCACACACCGCTGGCCCTCCCCGCCCCACCCACCCCTCGGACTCCCCCGACAAAAGGCCGCCGAGGCCACCAGAAGACACTTGGCCGGGGCCACCCCCCTCGCCCGGGCACCCGGAGGCAGGGGCGCACGAGTTCCGCGGCTGTTGTCGTCGTCGTCGTCGTCCTGGCTGCCGCCGTCGCTCTGGTCGTCAAGCTGTGAAGGCGAACGCGCGCAGCGTTAGGACGAAAGCCATCATAAGAGCACAACCCACACTGCATCCGTGTCGTTGTTGAGGAATTTGGCGGGGGGAACAGCGCAGTACCAAGGCAAGGGCAAAATTTGGAAACTCACGCCGCATTGTGGTTGTTCACGCTCTGAAGTCGAATGTGCGCGTCGCTACGGCGAGGTCAGAATGCTGCAAACAGGCGGGCGGAACTGAAAATGCTAGTGTTGAGAATGTCAACGTTCAAAATCATGCATCGCCCGGCGCACTCGACCGACACGACTGGTGGTGGCACGAGGAGTTGCTTACAAGGAGGAGGGATGAAGGGGAACGCGGCGAAGCAGGAGGGGGATGACGAGGATGCCGAAGAGGGCGGAGGCTGACGCACACACGACAACACCATGCTCCTCCCTCCCATGCCTTACTACGGAGTTGAGAGACGGATCCCGAAAGTGCGACTTTGTCTAGTAGCAAAAGCTCAGGCGGGAACGCAATTCTTGCTGATGAAACCGTGCGGCCACCGTCGGTTTCTGGGAATGCGGGCTTTACCGGAATACCTGCATGTGACAAACGCTGCAAAAAAAAAAAATTTTTGCCGGCACAAAAAGGTACGGTCAACGCTGCGACGAAAGCGCCGTTCCTTTGGACGGGAACTCCCGGGATATCCTGGAACGTTGCAAAAAAAAACTTCATCGGGATCACCACTACTGCTAATGCAAAAAGTACGGCCAGCGCAACACCGAAAGCGGCGTTCCTCCGGACGGAGACCCGATGTAAATCGAAGGCCAAGGCTGCAGCCCGAACCCATCTTTTTCAGGACACATTACGGTCTGATCAGAAAGACCAAATCGAAAATCCGCCGACCCCTGGTGGGTTTCTAGGCGTGTGAAATTGTTCCCCCCCATATGCCCTCCCCCCCGGGACCCCGAACCGGCAATTTGACCGCCCCCCCCCTCGTCGGATCCGACCCACCATCGAACTCATGAGGGGCGGTCCGGGCCCCGCAGGCTCCGCCCGGAGCTCCAAGACAACTCGCCAAGCCTCCCAAGACACCCCCAAGTCGCCGAATGATCGATCCAAGACGCCCAACAAGCCGCGAAGACTCCCCAAAAAGCATCCAAGAGGCTTCCCAGGCAGCCCCCCAAGAAGTTGAAATCGTCGAATTCCGATGGGGATCGTACACTTTTCGCATACACGCCTTTTCGGCCTTCGCGGCGTGGGCGAACACCCGCGAAGCACCCAAAACCGCTCCAAGACGGCCCAACCTTTTCCCCAGATTCCCTCAACGCGGCCCAAGAGAGCTCCAAGACGGCCCCAGCGGCGCCCAAGATAGCACTCAAGCGCTCCAAGACGGCCTCAAGAAAAGCCACAGCTCCCGGGAAGCCCAGAGGCCACCAAAAGGCACACAAAAGGCCCCAAAGGTCTCCAAAAGGCTGAAAAGAACCTCTGGAACGGCGTCCAGGAGCCTTCCAAACTGACGCCCGGAGGCTCGCGGGAACCCTCCCCGCGAGATTCCTACGAACATTCCCGACGCTTCATACTCACAACCCAAGCACGGCGGCGGGATGCTCCGAAGGCTGCGAGACACTGTCACGGAGCTCGACCGTACCGAAAATGGCATACCCGGCAATTCGACTCATCGCGTGTATACCGCCTGCTCACTATTTCCACTCCCTTGGCCTCCAAACCGAAACATCGACAAACTCCCTTTCTTTGCATTACCCCCTCCTCTTCCTGTTCCTCCTGACGGCACCGCGCACCCGCGCGCTGCCACAAGCGCTGCCACGGGTCTCACGCGCAGGCTTTGCACTTCAGCGTGCAGTTTTGGTGAGCACGCGCGAAATGCGGTCCACCCGCGAACTGAGATGTTGGGAGCTTCCTCTTGCAAGCCCCGAAGCACTCGTACGCTTGCGAATTCCAAGCCGCGAAGCCGACGACTATGCACTCCGCGCATACACCTTCACTGCTCGTCGTGAAGTGAACACTCTCTTGCCTGTCGCTGATGTGCTGCTGCCGAGCGAACTGCTTCGTGCACGCTGCGCACGTCAACAGCCTCTTCAACCGCTTCGCCGCATTGGCAACTCCCTTCGCGCTGACGTCCTTCTGGTGACACTGTGCGCACACCACCCTTTCTTTTTTCGTCGCCCGTTGGTTTTTCACTTGGTTCCTGCTCACATGGCCGACCTCCCAGAAAGACACCCCGCAACCGGGCGCACAGCACGTCAGCGGCTCCGCTTCCGCCTCTGCTTTCCGTTTTCGATTCTCCGCTTCGTAATTCCTCCGTCGCACCGCCTTCTCTGGATCCTCCGCGCACTTCCGGCACAATTTCTGCCCCGCTGCTTTGTGTTTCTTCTGACCTTGCGACATCCCCGCCTGTTCGTCGTACAACGACAGGCACTTATCTTTCGTACGCGAACCGAAGATACCGAGAGTCCAGCCCAAGAGAGCTCGAAGAGGCCGCACTGACAACCCGAGGGAGACCCGAGTGCCCGGGTGAGCGACCCAACATAGTCAGTCTCCAGAGCCCGGAAGAGTGTCGCGACATCCCCTACGAGATTCAGAGTTGGCACCCATACAGAATCAAGGGGTCGGCGGATGTGGCGTAAGCCTGAAGAATCAAAGGTGGGCAATCCTGTATGTGAGAAGCAATCTGCTGGTCTGGCGGGGGAAAACAACGACAACGTCAAAAGAGAGAAGAGGGAACTGCTGATACGGAGTGACTTTGCAGAGGAGGAGAGAGGCAAACCGGACTTTGAAGTCTTGCTTTTGTTGGCCACTGGGGGGTGCTCGGGGTCACGGCTGTGCTCGCCTTGGAATCCCAGTCGCCTGGTCGAAGCGACCTTGAGGCCCCCCCGACCGAACAAGTCTCCAGTCTCTCCAGTCCTGCGTCAATCCTCTTGCCTGCTCAAGGGCTCACGGAGCAAGACCTCGGACGCTTGGGTGGCAGTCCAACCGCATTGGCCTTCCCGAGATTCCCATGGGGACGCCGCCAGGAAAACGTCCCCATCCTCTCCCAAGCGTGCGCAAGTTACCCTCGGCATTGTCCCCGACGGCCGAGAGAAGCTCGTCAGAAGCCCCAAGATGGCTCGTCATGAGCGGCTGGCGGCAGAGGGCGCAGCCATCCGATGACGCAGACCTCCGTGGGAGGGGGCGACAAAGACGAGGCAACACGGCGAGCAATGTCGCCATGAAAGACGGGGGTACTGAGGGAAACGGGTCCTGGACCCTGGGGGCTACTTCTGGACCGACTTTTCATTCCGGACCGTTTCCTTAAGGTCCCGGGCGAAGCCAGGCAAAGGCACAAAGAGGACGGAAAACGGGAGAAGAGACCTTAGGACCCCAGCCTCAGGACCCCCGTTGCTTCATGGTGAACTGTTATGCGGCAGTTCCGCCGTAGTCGTCGTCCTCCTCAGCCTCCTCCTCCTACTCCTCCTCCTCCTGCTGCTCCTCCTCCTCCTCCTCCTACCTCCCTCCATCAACTGCGTCCGCCGTCGTGGCGACGACGGCCAAAAGATCACGCATACCCCGCTCGCAGAGCCAACACGAGCTAGGGCAGGGGCAGCTGCCACGCCAAGCACCAGCGAGGAAAAGCCGTTCACGATAGCGAAGGCACGTCGCCTTCTCCTGGTCCTCCTGCTCCTCCTCGTGGTCCCCTCCTCCCGCCTAGCCTCATCCTCATTCTCCCTCACTCCTCGTACTCCCGCCTCTCCTTCTCCTCCTCCTCCTTCTCGTCCTCCTCCTCCTTCTCCTCCTCCTCCTTCTTCTCCTCCTCCGCGTCCTCCACAATTACTCAAGATGTATGCTTCTCTCCTCTCCCACCGGAAGATGAAACAAAAAAAGAAGAAAAAGTAGCCCGCCCCCCTCCGCGTGCTGTTTCACCACGCACACACGCACAGGATTTCAAACATTCAGGTGTCCTTGGTCTGTTTTGCAATATGATGATTTTCGATGTTTCAAAATGGTGTTCCCGCTGCAGCGCGGGCCTTATTTTCGGACCGGCGCTTTGCTCCCGTCGTTGAGAATGGCGTTCTCGCCCCAGCGCGAAACACTTTTCTAGAACCGAGTCTAGGTTCACTGTGGTCCCCCCCCCTCATTTCCCCCTCCTCCGCCCTCCCCTGGTCCTCCTGCTCCTCCCGCGTCCTCCACTCCAGTTCCTGCTGCCGTTCGCCTCGCCCCAGCGAGGGCCTCTTCTCTGACTCCGAACATCTCTTCATCGTGGCAGCCCCCCTCGTTTCCCTTTCTCCGCCTTCCCTGGGTTCTCCTTCTCTTCCCCATCCTTCCGCTCTAACTCCTGCTGCTGCTGTTTGTCCTGATCCTTTCCCACCCGCTCATCCCCCTGCTCACCCGCCACCGCCTCATCTTGCGCACGCAGCTCCCCTCTTCTCGACTGCACATGCCACGAAATGGTCTTTGCGTGGGAGTCGCAAGCCAGCTATGACACGCGTCCGCGAATAATAAATTAGCAACGCGATAGGAAGGGATTGGAGGGAGGGAAAGAACGTCAACTGAGGCGCGAGCGCACCTAGCTTGTCCTCCTCGTTCTCTTCCTCCTTCCCCCGCAGAGGTTCTGCCCAAGCCGCCATGGGCTTCTCGGGCACGCATTGTGCGACTTGCCGCGTACACTTTGCTGGCAGCATCCTTCATCAGACGCCCGCAGCCACGAGCTAGGGACTCAGAAACTGCCCAAACTTTCGACTCCGACTCCCTAACCTTCGGGAACATCGACTGCTTCGTGTGGTTTCTGGATGTCTCTGAAGAGTTCCCAAAGGGCTCCGGATGAAGGGGAGACGGAGGAGGACGAGGATGGCGGAGTGGGGAGGATAGGGAGGACAGGCAGAGAAACAGGGAACGACATCTCACACGACATGCCGCAGGAGTCGGAACCAGACGCATGGCATGCGTGCGAGGCGAAGCGGGAGCGGGTCGGGCTGCCTGGACGCGCGAGCGGACTGCCTCGGCCGCGCTGCGGCGCAGAGAGCGTGGCGAAACGCAGCTGCACGAAGCTCCCGACGGGCGAGGAGTGCCCACGGACCGAGCGGGGCGGAGCAGGCGCGCGGGATGCCACACGCACCCGCGCCTGCCCCTCGGGGCTCGCAGCACGCGTCGGGTCCCGCGCCCGGCCGGCAAGCGGCGCCTGGCGGCAGGACCGCCGCCGGCAGGGCGGCCGAAAACTCGACAGGCGCCGCTCCCGCCCCTCCTGCGTGGGGCTCCTTTTGCAGCGAGCGCGGATGCCTTCCTCCTCCCGCCGCCCGCCTCCCACGCGCGGAAGACCTCGTGGCCCACCCCTCCTTATGTGGGGCGCTCGCTCTGGAGAGAGCGCTGAGATGCCGTCCTCCTCCTCCCGCCTCCCGCCTCCCGCCTCCTGCCTGCGATCTCGCCGTCGCTGGGGGGGGGGGGGCGGACTGCGAGGCCGTCGCCACTTTCGCGGACTCCTGAATGTGCCAGCGCACTGACGTCGCAGGGGGGTCATGTTAGACCTCGCCGTCCCTTGGAACCTGCGAACTGGGAAACTGGCTGCCACTTTCGTGAGCTCCTTGGAGGGACAGCGAAGTGACGCCATACGCGGATCAGCTTAGAGCTCGCCGACCCTGGGGGGCTGCGAACTTCGAACTGCAAATCCGTCGCAACTTTCGCCAGCTCCCGGAAAGGCCAGCGACATGACATCCTACGCGGGTCAGACGGGACTTCGCCTTCCCTGCAGGGCTGCGACCTGCGAAGCTGTCGCCACTGTCGCGAGCGCACTGAGGTCATGTGCGGGTCAACAAGGACCTCGACGTCCATGCTGGACCGCGAACTGTAAGCTTCATGGAGGTCCAATGCAACGGCGTGCTACGCACGTCAAGCGGTGCCTCGACGTCCCTAGGGGTTGCGAACTGTGAGTATGTCGCCACGTCCCTGGGCTACTTGGAGGGAGAGCGCAATGACGTTCTGACGCGATAAAACGGGACTTCGCCTTGGGCTGCCAACTGGAGTCGCCTCGCGGGTGGGCTCCTGGGAAGTCCAACATAATGCCGTCGTACGCGGATCGAACGGGACCTCGCCTTCCCTGCGGGGCTGCGATCTGTGAAACTGTCGACACTTTCCTGGGCTCTTGGAGGTCCAGCGAAGTGACGTCATACGCGGATCAGCAGGGACCTCGCCTTCCCTGCGGCACTGCGAACTTTGCAACTGTCGTCACTGTTGTGAGCTCCTGGGAGGCCCAGCGCAGTGACGTCCTGCGCGGATCAAATTGAACCTCGCGCTCCCTGGGCTCCTGGTAGGCCCAGCGCAGTGACGTCCTACGCGGGTCCAACGGGACCTCGCCTTGCCTGGGGGGCTGCGAATTGCGAAACTGTCTGCACTTTCCTGGGCTCCTGGGAGGTCCAGCGAAGTGACGCCCTACGGGGTCAAAAGGAACCTCGCGGTCCCTGAAGGGCGGCAAACTGTGAAACCGTGGCCACTTTCGTGGGCTCCTGGGAGGTCTGGCGCAATGACGACCTGCGCGAGTCGCTCTGCGACGACGATGGGACCAGGGCCGGGTTTGATTCGGCTCAGACTCGGGTGAGCAGCGCACAGGGAGCGGAGGGCAGAGTCTTGCTGTGAGGCGAAGCCGCTGCGAGATCGGATGGACCAGCAGGGCGCGCGCGCGCGCGGAGCTCCAGAGAGGCCAACGGAGAATGGCCCATGGAGAAGATCGGGGTGACCCCCTCAAATGGAAAGGGCCCGCCCTGCAGGTTCGGTGAAACAGCCCATCGTGGAGCGGTGCTGCAGGGCGAACAGGGCGGCAGAATGGGGGCGCGGGGCTGGAGAAAGCGGACGGGCGGGGCAGGGAGCGAGGACGACGGGAGGAGATGCCCAGCGGGGGCGTGACCACATCGCGCCTCCTCGCCTGGCCGAAGCTGTACCTGGCGGTGATGGCTCCTGCCCGCGGCGTCTCCGCCCGGGGCGCCCGCCCCGACGACCGCGCCTGAGAGGCAGCAAAGAGGGGGAGGAGGATGAGGAGGAGGAGGAGGAGGAGGAGGAGGAGGAGGAGGAGGAGGAGGAGGAAGGGGGAGGGAGGAGGGAGGAGGAGGAGGGGGGAGGGAGGATGAGGAGGAGGAGGGGGAGGAGGAGGAGGAGGAGGGGGGAGGAGGGAGGAGGAGTAAGAGGCGGAGGAGGGGGAGGAGGAGGAGGAGTCGCCGATTGACCTTAGATCGGGGATAAGCTCTCGACTGCGAATCCGAACGCTCCTCGGCGGGTTGGGCCATCATGGACATCGAGGATCAGTTGGCGATCGGAGATCGATGCATTCGCCCCTGCGCCTATCCTCACCCCTAGCGTTGACCCTGAGCTATCCCCCGCCGCGGGTGAAGGCAGCGCCCGTGGGACCGCCGATGCACAAGGATGCGAGGTAAGGATGGACGTGGAAGCGCCAATTGCACGGCTGCGCCGACACTGGCCGCGCCGAGCCTGGGGAAGGAACGGTGCCCGTGCCGATTGTGGTACCCTCCTCATGGAAGGCTCGCGCGTGCATGCCCAAGATTGCCCAAGGCAAGACTCGTGCAGGACTCGTGCATGCCCTCCGTGCGAGACTTCATTGTGGTACCCTCCGTGCAAGACTCGTGCATGCCCAAGATTGCCCAAGGCTGTACCGAAGGGTCAGGGATGCACTGGGCACCCTCGCAAAACGCTTCGATCCTTACATACTGAACAGACTGCAATCGTCGGTGCAACCGTCGTCGTCGACTGCGTCGAATTGGGATCCCCATCCTACAACGGCGCAATTCTGACGGAGTTCGGGGAGCCGGCCCCGACCCAAAGGGCCGCAATCAAAAACATCAAGGAGTCCCCCGAAAACTCCTCGGACCCTCCTCCTCCTCCTCCTCCTCCTCCTCCTCCCGCAAGAAGCTGGGAGTGCAGGAATAGGCGAGAGTTTTTAGCCCAACAAGCAGGGCGTTCCATCTTGGAGTTGGTTTACCAACAATATTTGAAGGCTGAGTGTGGCGCCATCCAGCAGGAGGAGCTGCACACTGCGTCAATCATGTGGGATTTAACTAACTACTACGAGCATGTCAATAGAGAGAAGCTTCACCAACGAGCCCTGGCTACTGGATTTAATGATGCTCTATTGCATGCTATATTAAGCCAATATCGAGGCCAGGTACCGATAACGCTTAACAGCCAAACATCGTATGCTGGATAACTCACTAAAGGTATCCCCGCAGGTTGCAGTTTCGCCACTTTCTTGGTACAGATGTATTGTATAGAGTCTCTTGATATTTGGGCCAGTAACGTTGAGGTTTCCCTCCACATGTTCATAGATGACCTCCTCCTCCTCCTCTACTCCAACAGGTGTAAGAACCAGGTAGTTGCAGAGTTGAAGCGCGCTGCCGCCAGCCTCCTGAGCGCGATCCAGTATGAGCTGGAGCGCTTCATAGCCATCAAAAGTCGGCTGTGCTGGCCTCGGCGATTGATCTTCAGAAACATCTTGCTAAAGCCCTTGGAAGATATTCAGGGTCGGCTCCTCATCATGCAGCTAACCTAGGAGTTGATTTCAGAGCTGGTCAGAAAGAGGTAAAGGTATAACAAGTTCAAACCTTCGTGAACGACATTCGAAGCTAAAAGGTCGATTCGCCAGAATACGACCTGTTAGACGAGCTGGAGCCAACACGCTAAACTTGTACGAGTTCGTGGAGAGAGTGCCGAGGCCCGTTCGGAGCAGCTATACTCAGTGCGAAGCGCTTGGGTTGGCAGTTCACCTCCCCCTTCACCATGAGTGATCAGAACCAGAGGACTCATATCTTAACTTCCACTTCGCCCAGCCTCCTTCAGACTTGGTTGCAGCAGGCCTGGGACCAGCAGTTGCACGAGCAGGCCGCCAAGAAGCTCGGCCTCCAGGGGTCCATCGACACCTCCACGGCAAATAGGGTTTCGAAAGATCAGAGTTTATCGCAGTCTGAGGGAACGACCCTCCTGGCGTTGTTGACCCAATGTATTTGGACCCATACCTGTTTGAAAAAGGCTGGTTACCCCACTGGAACGGAGCGCCAATGTGGACACCCCACGGACGATCTATATCATAGACTTGTGAGTTGCCCCTGTACAGCGCCCCTCAGAGATGAATGTTTCAATGGAGCTGAGGCCCAAATCCTGTTGGACCCAGCGGAATTCCCGCTCCAGGCCGGTTTTTTACAAGGTTTGGACTGGGCCACTGGAGCTCCCGAAGGCCTTGGCTTACAGAGGCAAGCTGTGTGGACCCGTGATAATGTTCCCATCTCTGAGGCACTACGGGGCACAATCTATACTGACGGGTCTTGCTTAAAACAAGGCCCCCAAGATTAGATCATTGCAGGATACGCAGCAGTCGCTCTTGACGACCAAGGCGAGATGACAGCTGCAGTGTACGGCCCAATCGGTCGTAACCTCCCCCAATCCTCTCCCTCCGCGGAGCAGCTTGCCGTGCTTGCTGCTGTGTCCTCCTCCTCCCCCTCCTCTATTCACACGGTAGTCACCGACTATCAAGGTGTGATAGACATGTATAGCGAACACCACGGTAGAAAGCAGACGTATTCAGGCGTCGCCATGCTGGCTAAAGGCTCGATTAACTGGCACGGTGGAATCTCCTTCGATAAGATCAAGGCTCACCAAAGCCTGAGGAGTTTCACCCAGGGCTCCGAAGCGTGGATAAAAGGCCACTGGTAACGATGTCGCAGACAAATTCGCTAAATTAGGAGCCCAGATGTTGCAGAGACCCTCGGCCAATGAGATCGAGGAAGCCACGGAGGTCAGATCTCTTCTGGCCAAGTGGCTCAGATATGTTGCTCGCAGTTTGTGGGAGCCCGTCGGGCCTAGAACCAATAAAAAAGCTGTCGCTTCTCGGGACAAAACCGCGGCTCAGCCCATAGCGGCTGGAGCGTCCAATGCCCGTGTGGCTTGGACTGATGAGGCTCCTCCTCCACCAGCCCCCGTGGTCCCTCGGCCCCCGAGAATAAGCCACTCGTGGGAGGGGAACGATAGGTCCAAGCGTTGGCTGTGCTCGACTTGTAAAGCCCGCTGCTCGGACAGAATGTATCAGTCTCGCAAAAATGAAACTTGTCGGAGCTACCACTTACAGATGTCCCAGATAGCTGCCGACCCCAAGGGCCACACGTGTTATGTTGCCCGTCAGAAACTAGAAGTTTGAATGTCATTATGATGTGTTCTGGCTGTGGCAAGTACAGTGAATCAAATGTGCACCAACTCTCAAGAGGATTGTGTAGGCTTCAGACGGGAGGGTGACAGGACACAGTGGAGACTCCTCTGTGCAGGCAAGCACCCAAAGTCCTCTTTCAAGGCCCCGTCTCTCTTCCAGAGCCCTCCTCAGAGGCTCGTCGATGTTATTGCCGCCGAAGCAGTCAGAACCGAGAAAACCCAGTCCTTACAGCAGGACGCAGGGCCTGAGCGGGGCTAACCTGCTGCGCTCTCCAACCACGTGCTGATCCTCCTCCTCCTCCTCCTCCTCCTCTTCCTCCTCCTGCCTCCACCTCTTCCGTCCATCCCGTCAGGCACCCGCCAAGCATTCGTAGGGGAGCTCCGCCACAGAACCGACCCGCAGAGCGGCTGCATGAGCATTGAGCTTTGCTAAGGTGGACGTGCTGCGTGGCCCTCCATTTGAATCGTCGCGTCAGGATCAGCTTTGGCTTGACATGGCCTACCACGTGCTACTTTCTGTTTGCTACCCCGCCCCCGATGTTTTTCGTCGCAGCGCCTCCGCGGCGCCATCACGCCACAACAGGACGACACTGCGAGACCACTACCACTGAACAACAGCACGCCACGAAAAGACAACGACCACGGACTCTCAAAGCAGAGGAGTCAGCGACGCCAAACGAGCGCCTCGCTGGAGACACCCCTACAATCCAACGGCGAACGGGGAGGAGCCCTGCCCCACGGCGGCTCCCCCTTGGAATGCCCACGTGCCACGCCTACTGCGTCGCGGTGACCACGGGGCTCTCAAGGCAGAGGAGTCCGACGCCACACGCGCGCCCTGCTCGAGAAGCCCCCGCAATCTGGCCGCGAACGGGGTGGAGTCCTCTCCGCTCTCGGCTCCCCGCCAGGGTGCTCAAGTGCCGCGCTTGCTGCATCGCGTTGGCCACAGGATCCTCACCGCCGAGGAGCTGGACACGCCAGACGAGGGCCTCGCTCGAGGGGGTCCTCCTAGCCTGGCTGCGAGGAGGGAGGCGTCCTGCCCTCTGTGGCTCTCCCTTGGGGTGCCCAAGCGCCACGCCTGCATCGCGGCGATCAGGAGCGAGTCATGATATGAGAATCGGGTATGAGTGGGTCTGGTTAATGAGTGGCAGGGTGAAGCATGACTAAACTAAATACGGATGTGAAGCAAAATGCGCATGTGCATATGTCTGTGTATACATACCTGTACGACCACCCTTCGGGCGATAAGGAGGTTGTGGGAACAGAGCCAACTGATGGCAATCGTGGTGGTTGTGATAGGGACGATGCTGGTGATGCGCCCTCGGGTTGGCAACGATCGATCTCACAACAGATCGCACTGCCGATCTCCCAATCGATCTCACCGTTGATCCGACAATTGAACTCACTACCGATCTCACATTCGGACTCACCATCGATCTCACAACAGTTCTCACTCTCACTCGCAATCGATCTCCCAATCGATCTCCCAATCGATCTCATGATCGGTCTCAGTGTCGATCCGACCATTGAACTCACAAGCGATCTTACCATCGATCTTACAACAAATGTCACTATCGATCTCACAACGGATCTCACAATCGATCTCCCAAACGATCTCACTATCGATCTCGCCGCCCTGCTCCTGGACACCGACTCGCGCCGCCCTGCTCCGGGACACGGAGTACCGACGGGACACCGACGGGACACCGACGGGACACCGACGCGCCACCGACGGGACACCCCCGGCCACCGTGCGCGACGGGGGGGAGGCGTGTGGGGGATCGATGCGCTCCCCCCTGAGCCTAACTATCCCTCCTATCGCTGCCCCTCCCCCTCTCCTCCTACCCTGAGACCTCATGCGGCAACGTGGCGGATAGAATTTGGCACCATCAAGAATCACGACCGGAGTTCTACCCTTACAGGGCCCAATCGTTCTCCAGCATCTCTCGCGCCAGATCGATTCGTGAGGGCCCCGGGCTCCGAAACAGGGCGAACTTGCCCAGCGTTGAAAAACGCGACGCCTGAATCTCGAGGGACCACGACCAGAGGAACGAGAACTATGCACATACACCGATCCTGGCCAGGCCCATCCTGAGCCCAGGATCGGTGCGTGCGCCCTCTTCCCTTGGCCAGGGAGGTATATGCACCGATCCTGGGTCAAGGAGGGACGTTGTCAGGATCGGTGCATGTGCCCAAACCCCCGACGTCATGATTTTTTCCTGACGCGGTCCCCAGAGGTCCGGACCCATTCCCCAGGACCGGTTTTTCATCCTGAGTCGTTTTTTGACGGTCCCGAGGCCCGGTGAGAGCCCCCCGAGGCCGAAAATAGCGAAAAACCTCCCGCCGTGATTTTTGTCATGACCCGAGGGAGTCTGGGTGCTTAGTTCTCCTCGCGGGTGGCAGCGCGGGTGGCAGCGCGGAGGCGCTTGCATGGTGGCAGCGCGGAGGCGTTTGCATGCTTGGCTGCGCAACGCATTGCGCAGCTCCCAAAGGTCCCTGACTGAGCCTTTGGGTGGGGTCGAGCGCCCGCGGCTGCGCGCGCGCTCGCGTCCGCACGTCAAAAAAGCATAGTTCTCCTCGCCCAAACGACGGCTGCGGCGGCGACGCCGAGAGCCCGAGGGCCGTGCCCGAGGCGGCAGGCCGCGCGGCCTCCCCCCGCGCCGGGCGTCCTGGCGCCGAGGCCGACGTGGGGCCCTGCGCGGCGGCGGGGTCGTCGCTGGAGGCGCCGTCCTGGCCGCAGGGAGGCTCGGGGCCGAGGTCGCGGATGTCCGACGACACGTTTGTCTTCAGTCGGAGCGCGTTTGCTCGAGTGCGGCCTCTGGGGCTCAGTATAGTTGCAGGGGGCCCTGGGACACACACACACACAAAGCAATACACACGAATGAAAGGATTCCCGATCGTTTCCTATAGTTTCTGGGTTTTTGTCTCCCCCCCCACTTCCCATATTGTCCCAGATTCTCCTGGGTCGCCGATGTCCGACGACACCGGGCAGTTTTTTAAGACATAGGATTTTGAAAAATATAGGATGTTTATTTAATACATGATTAATTTACGAATAAATGTATGCATGAACTCAGCGCTGTCTTTAATGCTAACTCCCGGCATTTGTATGCATGATCCGCACGCGGAGCATGTATTAAAAACGACACTGTACGTTTGTCTTCAGTCTGAGCGTGTTTGCTCGAGTGCGGCCTCCGGGGCTCAGTATATTTGCAGGGGGCCCTGGGACACACAGATCAATACACACAAGTGAAAAGGATTCCCCATATCTTCCTATAGTTTCTGGGTTTTTGTCTCCCCCCACTTCCCATACGTTCCCATAATATTTTCCTGGGAGTGGGCGATTCATTGTGCCTGTGTGTTTTTCCCCTCCTGAGTATTGCCGGGCAGGCGCTAACATGGACGGATCTGTGGATCTGGCGCGTGGGCGCCAGACCAATGGACGGGGGGAAAAAGTGGCCCCCGAAACACGGCGCCAGTGCCGCTTCATTCGACGCTGAGTGCGTCGGTTCTTTGCACGGGGACTCGGCCGCCGCTGCCCCACACGCCTTGAACCATGTTCGCGCATCCTCGATGTGCAGCCCCGGGGGCATCAGAAGTTGATCTCAAACGAAGAGTAAGCCAACGGGAAAAGGGGTCGGGACCCCTGGAGCCGCGCGTTGAACCAATCCCGACGACCACGACCACGACGACGATGGCAGCGCCAGAGGCGCCGTTCTGGCCAGATGTGTCGTCGTCGTTGCAGCCGCCGCGGCGCCAGTGGTGGCCGTGGTCGCAGCCAAAGGAAATTGTTTGTTGGCATGTGTTGCCGTGCCGCCTCCAATGCCCACCCGGCAGAAGTTGAGCGAGGGCGAGAGACCCAGGAGGCGAGCCGAGCACAGGGGCGGTCTGCACTTGCCCTTCTTCTCCCTCTCATTATGATTGCTCTTCTTCTGTCACACTCATGGGCGCGACGGCTCGATTGCCTACTGTTTTCAAGACCACAAAGCGAGCCGTAGTGCCCGAAGAGGAGGAGAGTATCTTCCGTACTATTGCAATCCATCGGGCTAGTTGGAGTATTGGCTGTCTGGGTAGAAGAAGGAATCACCTTGATATTAGTAATAACCGTGATGCTAATCGTACTGTTATGGTATTTACTATTCTGCTCATCGCTATGACAAGTATTCTCCTTCGTTTGTTCCTCCTCCAGCACGGGAGGGCCGCCGCAGGCGGCCGGACCGGGCGCGCTCGGATCGCGGCGGAAGGGCAACCGCTCAGGAGCCGCGCCGCTCGGCGAGCCACCCGATGCCCCGGCTCACCAGGGAGAGCTTCACGGAGCTGTTACGGGAACGAAAGATGACATAAGCATAAAAACTCGGAGGTCCGCGCGGATTTCTTGGATCTGCGCTGGTCCCCCCTCACTGGCGCGCGGAGCGCGCCAGGAGCGGCTCTGGAGGCGCCGCCAGGGGGCCCCAGCGCCGATCCGAGAAATCCGCGCGGACCTCCGAGTTTTTATGTTTATGTCAGTGTTCGTTTCCCTAGCTGTGGTCCTCGCCCAAGACCTCGTGCACGCCCTCCACACGGACGCCCTGGGCCCTCAGCCTCTCGGCGAGCGCATAGGCGCCGTCCACCATGCCGTCGTGCACGTTCGAGGGGTTCGCGATGCCCTCCCCGACCAGCCATAACTGGGGGAGCTGTGGTCCTTACCCTCCTGGGAGAACCCATCGCCTCGACGATCTCTCGAGAGGGGTGTCGAAATCGATGGGTCCCCCAGGGGGGTAAGGACCACAGCTCCCCCAGTCGTGGCCGGCCTGCCTCCCTCTCGCGGGCGCCGAGGAAGATCGCCACGCCCACCTTCGCTGCTCGCGCCACGCCGGCCCAATCTCGGAGCAGGGCCACTCGAGACAACAGCGGGCCCCCCCGCCCGACCCAAAGCCGCTCAAAATCGGCCCCCAGACGCCTCCCAAGGTCCATCCTGACCCGCTTTTCGACGCGGATCCAGCCGTGGCCATTCCAGGAGGCCCAAAGAGGACGACACACACCAGGAAGGGCCGCCGCTGTCTGGACGGGCCCTCCTCCGACGATCGCCCCTGTCCACCTCGTCGAGGATCTCCGGGTCGAAGCACACGGAGGGGCTTCCGAGCACCAGGTCGTCGAAGAGGCCAGGGCGCCGCAGCAGCGTCGACAGAGCCACGCTGCCGGTGTAGCTGGCCCCCAGCAGCGCCCTCCGCGGGCGGCGTCCGTGGAGCCCCAGAAGCCTCGCCTCTGCGAGGGGCACCACTTCGTCGGCAAGGGCATCGACGAACCGGTCCAGGTTCGGGTCGGTGGAGGACGGAGAAAGCAGCACAAGCATGCACTTTCGGGGGGCCGACCGGATTTCTAGGATCCCCAGGCGGCGCATCCAGCGCCGCGCCTCCGCGCTCCAGGGAGGGGATTTCAGGGCAAATCCAAGAAATCCGCACGGACCTCCGCAAACGTGTGCTTTCATGCCGCTCTTTCTTCCTCGGGTTGAGGCCCCTGCCCTCCTGGACCGTCGGGTGGCAGCGCGGCGGGAAGTCCCGCCGCCGCAGCCGGCGCAACTCCTCGCTGCAGAAGCCGCCCGGGTCCAGCGCGAAGTCCGCGCCGGCGTGGCCGACGCCCACCACGTGCAGGTTCCGGAACACCTCCAGGTACGGCGCCTGGGAGAAGACGAAGGCCGCCGCCGCCGCCAGCAGCACCGGCTCGGGGTCGAGCACGTAGAGTACCAGCGGCGGCAGGCCGCCGCCGTGCCGCTGCGGAGCGGCGGCCAACGACACGTCCAGCCGCAGCGGCGGCAAGCGGCCAGCGACGGCGGCCTCCGCCCTCGGCGGGCGCGCGTCGAGGCGGAGCCTCTGCGCGCGGGCGACGCCGGCCACCGCCGGGCGCGCCCCGCCTGGGAACTTCGTACGCGCACTAAGGTATCTGGGCCCTGTCGAAAATGGAGCTTCGCAGGAACTCTACAGGACATCACGACGTGTATGATTTTCTGGCCAGCTCTCTTGACGGCCCGTGTTGCACCAAAGGTATAAACGTGTTCGGGCCGCCATTCGCGCCGACAAGTGGTGGACAAGCAAAACGTCGAACGGGGGACATGTTTCTGGCCCCGGTCGCCGCCCCTGCGCAGCCCGCGGCTCCTCCACAGCAGCTGCGCGGCGCACGCGCCGGCGGCCCCGACGGCCGCGCCGAATGCCGCCACGAGCGCCCACGCGGTGCCGCGGGAAGCGTCGGCCATGTCACCACGCGGGCATGCCGGCTCGGGGAAGCCGGGCCCAGCCGGGCGGGGAGGAGGGGAGAGGGCGAGGAGGACGGAGACGGGGCGCCAGAGGGCTGCGCACGAGGGAGGAGGGGGTACGGGGGGAGGAGAGGGAAGAGGGGAGGAGGGGCGGGAGGGGCGAGAGAGGGACGAGGGGGAGGAGAGGGAAGAGGGGAGGAGGGGGAGGAGGGGGAGGGGAGGAGGGGGAGGAGAGGGAAGAGGGGAGGAGGGGGGAGGGGCGAGAGGGTAGGACCAGGAGGAGGAGGAGGAGGATACGTCCTGGGTCGGGCCGCGGTATCCAGACTGTCAGGTTCGGGCCCGTGCCAATTGACGTGGGTTGGGGGAGGCACCCCGCGCAGCATGGCGCCAATGCCGCCGGATTTTGCGACGGAGCGGGCCGATTCTGCACGGCAGCGCGGCCCGTCGCTCATCCACGGGCCTTCATCCATGCGCGCCCTTCCTCGAGAGGCTGTGGTATGGATGTCCGTCGCCGGTGGCCCAATGACTTCGGAGGCCCCCCCCCTCAGAACATTCCAGTGCTCGTCTGAGAAGCTATGCCTCAGTCCGCACCATCATCGCGTGCAGCACGCCTGCAGCGGCGCCACGCAGACCGCGCCGTCATTAGTGGCTGCGTGCACGCGTGAAACCTTCGGGAGCGGCCAAGAGGAGGGTGTTCAAGAGGGGGGGGTGCAAATCATGACCGGCGGCATGTGCGCGGCCCAGCGGGGGGGCAGGGACGCAATGAAATAAGAAGAGGCGCCATGAAATCTGGGGAAATATCATGGCCCACGCCATGATATCCACCCCCCCGCCTCTTTGCCGCCCCCGAGATTCGCCACTCGATCACCAGCTACACCTTTGCCGCCTCCCAGATTAAGCTCACTGCCCTGGTCACCGTGCGCCCTGCGGCGGCGACGAGGTATCCCGACCCCGCGGCGGCGTCCAGTTGAAGAAGGGTTCCTCGAACAGCCCCAGAAAAAAAAACAAACAGCCACCGTGCCTGCACAGAGTGGGCGTGTTAGAATGCTCGTCTGCTGCCTGGGGGGCTTTCTCCCAACCCTCCTGTGTTTTGGGTGCTCGCCCGGAATTCGCAACGACACGCGTCTCATTGTCCTCCTCTGCCTCTCCTCCCCTCTTCTTGATCCTCATCCTTGTCATGAGCATAAGGTTCACCGTTATCATCGTCGTCGCTTTCATGATCGTGACCACCACATCAGTTCATCATCATCCTCCCCATCATCATCGTCATCCTCATTATCATCATCCGTATCACCAATCCTCCTCATCATCTGCATGTTAATCATAATCCACACCACGTTCACCATCAGCATGATCATCAGCAACAACATTACCACCTTCTGCATCGTCATCATCGTCATCGTCGTCATCCTCTTCGTCATCGTCATCGTCAGCATCATCAGTGTCAATATCATCATCATACCATCCGCATCAGCATCAGCATCATCATCATCAGCATCATCACCATCACCATCACCGCCACCATCATCATCATCAGCAGCATCAACAACATCATCATGTTGATCCTCATCCGCATGCCCATCTTGAACCTCACCATCATCCTAATCCTCATCCCCCTCCTCATCCTTACTATCATCTTCATCCGCGTCCTCATCCTCATCCTCACCCTCATCATCCTTCATCATAGCCATCGTCATACTAATCGTCATCATCGTCATCATCGTCATGGTCGTCATCATCATCATCATCAGCATCGTCATCCTCAACATCACCGTCACCATCACCACCACCTTCATCATCGTCCTTATCACCATGACCATCACCAACATCATCATCATCCTCATCATCAGCGGCAGCATCTCACCTTCATCATCGTCAGCATCCTACCCTCATCCTCATCATCACCATCATTCTCATCAGGATCAACATCAACATCAGGATCAGCATCGGAATCACCATCATCATCATCACAATCACCGTCACCAGCATCATCAGCACCAGCAGTTGCACTAGCATCAAGATCATCATCACCAGCACCATCACCATCACCCTCAGCATCAGCAATCTCAGCAGCACCTTCGTTACAAGCATCATCATCAACAACACCATCACCATCATTATCATCAACATCCTCAACATCGTCGTCATCGCCATCACAATCATCATACTCACCACCACCAACTCCAGCATCCTTATCATCGTCATCCTCATTATCATCATAGTCCGCATCATCGTCATCACCATCATCATCAACATCGGCATCCACATCAGCATCATCATCATCATCATCATCATCATCATCATCATCATCATCATCATCATCATCATCATCATCATCTGCAGCACCATCGTCATCAACATCATTATCGTCATCAGCATTATCATCAACATCCGCATCATCATCCGCATCGTCCTGCACAGCATCAGCATCAGCAGCATCACCATTATCATCGTCATCATCATCAGCATTGTCAGCAGCACCCGCATCGTCAGCAGCATCAACATCATCATCATCAGCATCAGCAACATCATGATCAGCAGCATCAGCATCACCATTCGCATCATCATGAAATCATCAGCATCATCATCATAATCATCATAATCAACATCATCATCATGATCAGCATGCGCATCGGCGTCATCACTATCAACATCACCATCATCATCACCATCACCATCATCACAATCAGCATCATCATCATCATCATCGTCATCATCATCTTTATCATCATCGGTATCATCATCATGATCATGATCATGATCATCATCATCATCAGCATCAGCATCCTCATCCTCATCCTCATCCTCAACATCAGCATCATCATCATCATCAGCATCAGCATCAGCATCATCATCATCATCACCACCACCACCACCACCATCATCATCATCATCATCATCATCATCGTCGTCGTCATCGTCGTCGTCATCATCATCAGCAGCATCATCTCGGTCACCCCTCACACGTTTCGCTGCATCAGAGGGAGCTGCACCGACGGCTCCAATGGCCCCGTCCGCATGCCGTCTCGGGTCCATCTCGGCACACCCCTCACACGTTTCGCTGCCCCATAAAGGAGCTCCCTCGACGGCTCCATTGGTTCCGTCCGCATGCCATCTCGGGTCCATCTCGGCCCATCCCTCACACGTTTCGTGACCCCCAAAAGATCTCCACCGACGGCTCCAGCGGCTCCGTCCGCATGCCATCTCGGGTCCATCTCGGCACACCCCTCACGTGTTTCGTGACCCCCAGAGGACCTCCACCCAAGGCTCCAGTGGCTCCGTCCGCATGCCATCTCGGGTCCGTCTCGGCCCATCCCTCACACGTTTCGCTGCCCCAGAAGGCTCCGCCGACGAATCGGCTCCGCCGACGAAACCATTGGCGCAATCCGCGTGGCATCTCGGGTACATCTCGGTACACCCCTCACATGTTTCGCTGCCCGATACGAGCTCCGGCGAAGGCACCAGTGGCTGCAGTTGCATGCGGCCCCGCCCCATCTCAGCACACCCCTCAAATGCCCCACAGGGAGCTCCACCGAAGGCCCCCAGTGGCTGCGTCCGCATGGTGTCGCCCGCCCATTAGTACTGCCCCGCTCAGTTGAGTGTGGCCTTGCGTTCTTTGTCGAAGCGCTAGGGGTTTCTGCAAATCCACCAGTATGCTCATGCGCATTGAGCGGTCCTGCGCATAGGTGCCGCACGTTAACATAGGGTTGGGGTCTTCGCCAAAATATTGCTATTGAGTTTTCTAAGGCCGCCCCCCTCCTCACCGCGTGCATCCATCAAAAAAAGCCCCCCTGAGATTCCTCTCGTGCGCTCTACTATGGATGTTCCTCAGGTTTCCGACCACCCAAGCTGGCCCAATTGGCCTCCAATATAGCTCCAGGACAGCCCGAGGGCCCCCAAGAGGGCCCCAAGTCGGCTCACGAGGACCCCAAGATCGCCCGAGGGGCTCCCAAGAGTGCCCCAAGACGGCCCTGAAGCGTTCGCCCCAAGACGGCCACCGAAGGCGTCAGAAGGGCCAAGAGTCCCCTAAGATGACCTAAGAAGCCCCAAGAGGCTCCCAAGGGGCCTCAGAAGGCCCCAAAGAGGCCCCCATGAGGCCCTCAAGATGCTCCCACGAGGCCCCTAGAGAGCCCCAAGAAGCCTTCTCCTTCTCGTCCTCCTGTTCTCCCTGTCCTCCTCCTCCTCCTCCTCCTCCTCCTCCTACGCCCTACCGCGAGGACGAAGACGATGTCGGGATCCTCAAGTTGAGCCGACTCGCTGAAATGCCGCGGGGTGTGAACTCGACCTCGTGCCTACCGCGCGGACGAAGACGAGGTCGGGTACACGACCAGTCCCTATCAGACCACCAGTCGGAATCGCGCCGTTCCTGCACTAAGCCTCCTTCATGCTGCGCTGTTGCACAGGCACAGTGGCGGGGTTTGCCGCATGCAGCTGGATAACTTCAAATGCATGTGCATCGACGGCTTGACCTTTTGTTTTGTTTCCCTGGCGGCCCAACCTATCACACAGAAGCCCCCTTGTCAACCTCAGCCGCGCGGCCCCCGAAGAGCACTGCGCGCAGCGGCGGCCATTGGTATCCGACGCCCCTCTTGCTGGACATACAACGAGACGAGGCCCGCTCGCAGCACGACCTGTTGCGAAAGGAACTCCAGACACGGGCAGATGAGGACACAACGTGCACCGCCTCCGAGCGAAGAGAACGGCCTGAGTTCCAGTGGGGCAAGGCAGTCCTAGACTGCCGAACACGGGTGCCAGGCCTCGGACTCGACTGATGAGGACCCCCAGGAGAAGAATAGGGTGGAGGAGGGGGGGACGAGGAGCAAGTAGGGGGCCACATGCGAACCCTACCCCTATCCCCCACGATTTCTGAGGGGGAGGGTGGGGTTCACTTCGCTCGAGAGCTCCCGAGCGAAGTGAAGCCCACCCTCCCCCTCAGAAATCGTGGGGGGTAGTGGTAGGGTTCGAATGTGCCCCCCTAGCAAGATCAGCAAGAGGATACAATCGGACCTAGGACAGAAGATCATCCTTCAAGAGCCTGAGACCCTCCGCCGCCTACAACACAAAGAACAGCCAAGGGTAACCTCCCCGGGATGCACACGAACATCCAACAAGCACGAAGAACATTAGGTTTCCCTCCCTGAACCGACCTCGATCTTATGCCTCGGTCCAACAGTAACGGAAGATAGGGGGAAGGAGGGGGAGAGGGAGGAGGAGGAGGAGGAGGAGGAGGAGGAGGAGGAGGAGGAGGAGGAGAAGGAGAAGGAGGAGGAGGAGGAGGAGGAGGAGTGCACGCAGCCGAGGGGGGCGCGTGTCCGGCCTACGCGGCGGGCGGGGCGGCTCGCGCCGGGAGCTGCCGGCGCGGCCTGCTCGGCAGCGGGTGCTCGGCCAGGTGCGGACGCCGAGTGGGCAGCCACCGGGTGGGCGGCCGGGCCGCCCGGGCGGCCGCCGCGGGCCGACGGAGGGCCGCCGCCACCAGGCGGGTGTGACGGGCGGCGCGCGCCGGGAGCTGCCGGCGCGGCCTGCGCAGCAGTGGGCGCTCGGCCGCCGCGAAGGCGGACGTACGGCTGCGAGCCGGATCCCCGAGGCCGCCTCGTAGGGGACCACGCGGCCGTGCTTGTCAAAGAACTTCTTGTGGAGGCGGCAAACGTAGAACGCGAGCACGATCCCGCGAAGAGCCGCCCCGCGGGACCACTCGCCAGCGTGCTCGGCCGCACTGCCAAGCCCAAGACGGCCGAGAGGGCCCGGCAAGAAAGAGCGCATCAGAGCGACCCATGGCCAGCCGTCGTCCACCCCCCTCCCATGGAGGAGGAGGAGGAGGAGGAGGAGGAGGAGGAGGAGGAGGAGGAGCAGGAGGAGGAGGAGAAGGAGGAGGAGGGAAAGGAGGAGGAGGAGGAGGGGGAGGAGGAGGAGGAGGAGGTGTCCTGCCCCCTATGGGGCTCCGCGGGCCCGTCCTCTTCGCTGCTGCTGCTCTCCTCGTCGTCCGAGCTGCAGCCCGCTCGTCGGTCCGGTTCCGCTCCTCGGAGCGCCTGTGGGGAGCCAGCGGGAGGGGCGAGAGGAAGGCAGTGGCCGGGGGATGGCGAGGGCGAGGGGAGGGCGAGGGGAGGGCGGGGAGAGGGCGGGGGCGAGGGGAGGGCGGGGGGCCGGAGGGCGAGGGGAGGGCGAGGAGGGCGAGGAGGGCGAGGAGGCGAGAGCGATAGCGAGGGGGAGGGCGAGGAGGCGAGGGCGAGGAGGCGAGGGCGAGGGAGGGGCACGAGGGAGAGAAGGGCGAATGTGAGCTGTCCACCCGTGTCTTTTGTTCCTCGATGTCGGCCTCCACCAGGGACTGGGACTGTTTTTTGGGCCGGGGTTATCAGAATGGATCGAGAACGAAACGCTAACCCCCAGGGAAGTGGTCGGGAGCTCTGGGGCCGCGGATTGAAACAAACATATCGGAGGATGGGATTTGGGAAAGAGGGGAAGGGGGCAGATCGGGGAGGGAGGGGGGGATGCGGAGGAGTCCCGGCGCGGAAGAAGCGCGCGAGAACGAGGAGCCAGCCCAAGGGAGCGGAGGAGAAAGAGGAGGAGGAGGGAACGAATGAAGACGACGGTGGGCAACAAACGAGGGCGAAGAACACGAGGGACTGGATGGGAACGAAGAGGTAATCGGAGAGACCGTAGGAAGAGGGGCCGGGCAACGAGGACGAGGCGGACAACGTGCACGATGAGAGGACAGCAGCAAGCGTTGCAACCAGCGCAGGAGCAGGACATGGGGATGACATGCGTACAGTCGGCCCGTATCGTGATGATGCGCGATAAGGCTGCAGGGGCCTCGGATGTCCACTTCGAAACTCTTCGAGCGGGGCGCGGCGCACGAAAGTGGCCACGGGGTGGGCCGAGGAGGCAGGGATGCGAGGGCACCCCCGGGAAGGCTGCCCATCCTTACTATGCGGGTCGCCTGTAAATGGTTTTGAATGATGAAAACACGGCCCTACCCTGGGTTACAAGTGCGTGGTCTGTAAACCTCCTGGGAACCCCCAAAGCCTAGAGGACGCCAGGACGCCGCACATCACGCAGGGTTTACCCTGTCAGCCCACAGGAGTTTCAGCGCACAGCGCCTCGTAATCCAGGGTAGGGGCCTTTTTGTAAGCCCTTGATGGTTGGAATGATGAGGAGGACGTGGACGAGGCAGCTGAAGATGGCGTGCCGTCGGGATGCTCGTCTGCCCAGACCAGCGTGCGCGCCTGGCGTTTCTGCTCTTGCGGCCCGTGGCCGCGCGCGGCCGCTCCGAGCGATGGCTCGTGTCTCTGGATCTCTATCACATGTGCCCGTGCGACCCCCCTTCGGGTGACGAGGAGGCGCGGAGAGGGGACCAACGTCTCACTGAATCGATCTCATGATCAATCTCACTATCGACATCACTATCCCTCTCACCACCGATCCCACTATTAATATCAGTATCGGTATCACTATCGATATCACGATTGGTCTCATTATCGATCTCACTATCCCTGGCACTGTCGATCCAACAATCGATCTCGCAAACGATCTCTCTATCGATCTCACGGTCGACCTCATTATCGATCTCACTATCGATCTCGCTATCGATGTCACTATCGGTGTCACTATCGAGCTCACTATCGATCTTACTATCGATCTCACTATCGGTCTCCTGATTGGTCTCACGATCGATCTCACCACAGGGCACCGACGGAACACCGACAGGACACCGACGGGGCACCAGCAGGACACCGGTGGCCGGAAAACCTGCGGGGGCGGTCTTTTTGGCCCGCCGGCGCCCTAGCCAGAGGAAGTTTCACTTCTCCCACCCGCCTACGCAGCTTCGCCTCGCCCGCACTCGCGACACGAGCACGAAACCGATGTTCCAGGTGAGGGGTTCCCGTTTCACTGCGCTCTCAACCCCCTCACCTCCAATGTTTCAATATGCCAAACTTTTGGCGCGCCCGAGCTAGGTACTGGGAAAGCGCCGAACGATGCCCAACAAAAATTGTTCTTCAACACAGATAGCGGCCGCTATTGGGCATTCTGCTTTTGGTCTCAAGCGAGCAACGTCCGTGGCGACAACGACAACGCGTCCTACTCAACTCTGGCAAGAACAAATGTCGGTCCTTGTGCCGGCTTGCCCGTACCCCGCTCGATCATACCAAGCCTGTGGCTTGGATGTGCTTCTGGCGCAAAGCACGCCGGCGATTCGTTTTTCTGGACTAGACATTCCCTCTGAGAATGTAGCATCAGGCCTGCATCGCGCGGATGCGCGCGCAAATCTTGCAACATACTGCGCGATTGCGATGGGGCGGCTCCTTTTGAAGCCAAATCTTTTCCCTGTGTTATTCGAAACCTCGCAAATTATGGTACAACCTTCCGTTGGGATGAATTGATGGCATCGTGTCCTCCTGTTCCGTGCCTCCCTCCAACTTTTGACAGCGGCGCACTCTCAATGGAACACAACTTTTCCAGCAGGTCCTGCGCATATCCGGCGCAGTACTTGGATGTAGGTATCGGCGGCCACTTGCTAGGGTGCACAACCATATCGCGAAGTCGCTCACGGTGAAGGATTTTTTCAAGTCTACAGCAAAGACGTACTCTAATACTATATGATCTAGACTTCCCATGAAAACGTGTCAAGGCTGATGCGTGATCATTGTAACCAAACCGTTTCCGCACTCAGCAAACGGCTGCCCTTTGAGGTATTATGCAACTCGGCCACCACATGGTGTACTTTGTGCCTGATAATAGGGGTCATTGGTATGGGCGGTAATTGCCAAGTGTTCTGCGTCTCATTTCTTGAAGATCGCCTTGAAACCAATCGTGCGGCAGCACATCTCCGTGGGCGATGACTCTCGGAAAGACACTCGCTGGAGATATTCGCCCACACTTCTCTAAGATGCAGTCCGCCAATGATGAGCATCTGTGCCAACATGCCTGGCCTGTCCAACGTCTTACGTCTTACGTCTTTTCAATGCCTGAACGTGCTCCACGAACGCTGATGCTCTACACAGCGGTATAGTGACTGCCTGGTATGCTGCTCTCACGTGCACTGGTCTCGGCCACGATTCCTGGCTGAATCGCAGAAGCGTGCGAAAACATCAACAAAACCTCGCCAATTCCAGAGAAGTCGGTGACGCCAAGAAGGCGCCGATGTTTGAAATGGTCGGGAACGTCGTGTGTTCGCCCGATGTTCCTGAACTCCTTCAATATACAATAGTGGCGTTATGTTTTCCACTGTCTCCAACAGTGCCTTAATTCATGTTGCAGCTTATTGCCGATTCATTTCGCCAAGCTGCTTCTAGCCTCTCCTCTACAGGTGGCCCCTCTTTCACGCAACAACTGTATAATGCGTGGAGATATGTCTTGTTCCGTCGTTCCTGCTTCGCCGCACCTCTCTTCACTCTAAGCATCATCCCACGCTCCTCTCGCAGAACATCTCAAGTGAAGACGCTGCACCATGTTCAGCATGCTGCTGGATACACGAACGAAGGGCTTTCAAACTGGCTATGGACGAGGAAGAGCAGAGGGGAATGAAGAGGAAAGGGTGAGGAGAAGAGGAGGACAGGGGGGAACAGCACGGGAAGTAAGAGTAATAGGATGAGGTCGAGGAGGGAAAAGGAGAGGCATGGATGATGAGGACGATGAGGGAAATGGCGAGGGAGGTAAAACCTCGGGAGCAATGGCAGGATCGACTTTGCCCGCGCGAGGGCAAATACACGTGGAAAGCCTTCATGCAGTATCCAGGTTCAGATCTGCCACCGCCCTTGCAGCGGCTAGTGTGCGTGGGGCAGTTGCTTGTTTCCTATCATATGATTTGTCTTGAGCAAAAAACTCACCAAGCCCCCGACGCAACAGTTCCAACATGCGTTCACTTTGCGGATCGAGTGCCTGTGTGTTTGCTTCCCTTGCCAGAAACTTCAAAAATAAAATGAATGCGCCGCTGGTCCCCCCCTTCCTTGGTCTCCCGTCCCAGACCCCCCTTTCGCCCGATCTATCCCTCCAGGACCCCCCTCCTTTTTCAAAAGGGGAGTGGGAGGTTGAACCCCACTCTTTTCCACTATTTAGGACATGGGGGTTGAGACCCATCCCACCCCCCTTTGGTCCCGAAAACGCAAAAAGGGGTACAATCTCCACCCCCTACTTGGCTCCGGAACCCTATACCTGCCACCCTTCCGCCCTTCCACTCACACCCTACCCAGACCCTACAACCCAAACCTGAACACCATAACTTAACCTTGAATATCTAATCATATCCGCCACCGTACGTGCGCGGAGCGGGCGTGTTAGAATGCTCCAGTGGTCCCTCTGGAAATGTTGTTATTTCCAACCATCCTGTGGTGTTGGGTCCTCGCTTTGAAAAGACAGCGCCCCGCGTTCCCACTCCTTCTCCTCCTCCTCCTCCTCCTCCTCCTCCTCCTCCTCCTCCTCCCCCTCCTCCCTCCTCCCATCCTCGCCTCTGCCCTTCGCATGTCTCTGTTTCGGCACACCCCTCACATGGTTCGTGGCCCCATAGTGAGCTCCACCGAAGGCGCCCGTGGGATGGTTCGCATGGCACCACCGCGCCCACTTCGGCACACCCCGCACACGGTTCGTGGCCCCATAGGAAACTCCACCGAAGGCCCCAGTGGGAGGGTTCGCAGGGCACCACCGCGCCCAATTCGGCACACCACACACACACACACACACACACACGATTCGTGGCCCCATAAGGAACGCCCAATTCGGCACACCCCTCACACGGTTCGTGGCCCCATAAGGAACTCTACCTAATGCCAGAGTGTGAGGGTTCGCGTGGCACCACCGCGTCCAATTCGGCACACCCCTCACACGTTTCGTGGCCCCATGGGGAACTCCACCGAAGGCTCCAGTGGGAGGGTTCGCAGGGCACCACCGCGTTCCATTCGGCAAAGCCCTCACACGGTTCGTGGTTCCATAGTGACTCCCCCGAAAGCCCCAAGGGGAGGGTTCGCATGGCACCACCGCACCAAATTCGGCACAGCCCTCACACGGTTCGTGTTTCCATAATGACTCCCCCGAAGGC